ATCAAAATGGGCTAAAATTTCTGTGCTGAAACAGTAATGAGAGAGACTTAGGATGAAAGTGAAAAAAATAAAACCAGCAGTTAACAAGTTAAACTTGTGTAAAAAAACTCAGATAAATTTGAGAAAATCTATAAAAACAATGCCTAAGTTATCACAAATTCAAAAGTGAAAGATGATGTAAAAAAAAGTTAGATTGTTTGGGAACAATGACACTATAGCTAATATATTTCAGTTTTACCTAATCTGACAGCATGTTTTTAATTTTGTTTTATATCTGTAACTGGGAATGCACTGAAAAAGGCAGATGATCAATGTGAATTGCCTAATTAAGTGAATGTATAATTAATCTAATGAGAATAATCCATTTTTATAATGAAAAAGGAATCATTAAACAATTTAGAGTTATTAGAAACAATGTATTATTCAAAGGAAGCTATTTTAAAAGAAGGTCTCAGTGGTGATTAATAAAACAGAATTAATTTGAACATCCTGTTGGGTTCTAGACTTTCCCATTCCAATTAAGCCATTACAAGTGTAAGGGAGGAGGTACTTCTGTATACACATTTATCTTGAAAGCTCACTCCTCCTCTCTCTCTTTTTTCCCCACTCCATTTTCATTATATTGGAGAGAGGCCACTATATGCACTTTAAGAGGCATGGTAGCAAAACCAATTTTTAGTAAATAAGTAAAATGAAACCTGCTTTAGTGGTGTTTTTGTTTGGGGTTTTTTGTTCTTTTTTTTTTGTTTGTTTGTTTGTTTTTTTAACAGCAAATTATAAAGCAAATAAGACAGTTTTGGAGGCAAAATGTTTGCACAACTTAATTTCACTGTAGCTTTATGGGTTTTTTTTGTTGGCTTGCTTATTTAAGTGAAAGTTAGTACAGAAAGCCTTCAACAACTTCAGACTCCTTAACTACACTGCATCCTACTAGCTATTTCAATGAAAAGATACTGAAGAATTTATTTTTGATTCTTTTCAAATGGACAAGCACTTAAGTATTTCACTGTTTGAAATCAAACTCATCTCTCTGTATTGACAAATTTTATACAGAATCCTTCTTCAACTTCTCCTGAGATAGGCTTAGTGCAGACAGAAATGGGAGATCTGTATGTCCTTTGTGGGTAGTCAATACTGTATCTGAAACTAAATAATGTCTGGGCCATAATGTCACTGGTCTGACCTGTCTGAACATTTCTGTTTGGTACACTTGTTAACAAATTTCACTTACTGACTCTTTAGATGCCACATGTTCTTAAAATATTTATAAGAAAATTCCTTTGGAACTAGTTAGTTCATAGGTATCTCTCTGTGGTTTCTCAGACTGATAGTTGGAGAAGTCTCACCTGACCATAACCATTTAATTGAGGCACCTAGGTTAGAAAGAGTCTCCTCTACGGTCAGTGGAGACTATTTCAGTTATGTCATCGATTTGTTGATGACAGAATCCACCAAGGTCCAAAATGGGATACCTGAGTTAGATGTTCAAAGTGGGATGCGTGAGAGCCAATAACATGGTAGATGTGGGGAGGATATTTTGAAGAAAACTTTCCCAGAGAAAAAGAAGATGGAAATTCAAAAATAAATAAGCATTTATTAAGTTCAACTCAGTTTAATGAAAAATTGTTCACTTTAAATCTTCTTTAAAAAATGCATATTAAAGAGATCCAATTAAAAGCCTCAAACTTTATAGGAGTATTCAAATCTAGTATCTGAAATAATCTCCTCCAGCGTTTTAGCTTAAAAACATGTAGGTTGTGCCAAAAGTAAGATTTTCATTGGTGCTTCTGTACTCTTTCCTCTGCCATTTTTTCTTCCTGATTCATATGCAACTTCTTTCTTTCATCTGTTAAGTGTTTCTGGTGGTGTACAGTGTACCCAAGTAGCATGTATCACACCACCCATCAAGACTGCATATTTGTAAGACAATGTTCAGATGTTCAGATAACTGGCATATGAGAAAGGAAAAGGGGAAAAGAAGGGGAAAATGTGGACAGGTGAGCAGCTGATTGCATTTCACCCTGAGAGGGGACTGCCACCCTCGCTGATCACTAGAGCAAAAGTCACTTCCCCTTATGTCCAATGAAGTGACATCATGTCTGCAGTGTGCAGAGATTTCTATCTTTTCAGCTTCTCCATTAGTTCTCCCTTCAGACATCTCCAAGCATAAAGAGTTTGAGAAATACTTCCTTATATCTAAATCCACTGAAATCCAAAGCTAGGATATTACCTACACAAAACTAATTATAACACTAGCTTGATCAGAGAAATGTGCTGTCGTGGTATTACCCCAGGAAGCAACCATGAAACTTTTCAAATCATATCAGCTGACTCCTGTACCAAATCACATCATCTAAGAATAGCTTTGGCTTCAGGCCTGAATTAAAGCACATTATAATACAAATATAAACCTCTTCAAAGATACAGAATGTCTATAATTTTTTCTGATAGCTCGAAAAAAAGTCCAAAAGGTTAGAAGTCAAAAAGAACATTTGCACATCCTGGGAGGACAAATTATAAGTGTATGCATGCACGTGCACTTGGAAGAAAATCTTCAGTCCATTTATTCATGGTACTCCATCAACACACTGTTGTGTCCCAACTGCCCAGTCTTTTCATTTGGCTGTTCCATGAAGCATGTAGTTTTTTAGGGCTGATAACAATTATTTTATTCTCTGTTCCAACATCTTCATGCTTAGAAAAAAAAGTAATCCCTAAGATTTACATGCAAAATGTGGCTGATATTTCCCCATAGTTTAACACTTGGCATATAGGATATGGACTGTACCTGTGACAAGGTGCTAAAACAAATTAATGAGAAGTAGAGATTAAGTGTTCACTAGGGATTGCTGTGTAGTATTTGGAATGTCCCTGGTAACATACAGTACAGATTCCTGATCAATACAAGAAATAGGTGGAAGGGAAAAGGGAAAGAAAGGGGAAAAGAAAAGAAAGGGAAGAGAGAAAGAGAGAAAGAGAGGCAAGGACAATTTATTTCAAATTTTACAAAGTCCTGTGCCCGAAGTGTCAAGGTTTTGAGATCACCTGTACCACATAGACACATTAGCCAAGCAGAACTAAACCGTATCTTTCTCATAGCTACTTTGATTTAAACATGGAGTAACATCACTGAAATTGGTGATCAGAAGTTATACAAACAAAAGAAAAGCTTTCACCTGCATTCAGCAGAGCTCTCTGTGTATAAAATACTCTATGACAGAGACCTAGTGACTGGTACAGAGAACTTTCTTGTGTGTGCAGCCCTTCAGTATCACATTTTACTATGCTGGTATTCCAAACACTGACTAAATTTTACCCTTCACTCCTCAAGTGCAGAACAGCATCTCGCTCATGTTGCAATAATGACCTCTGCACAAGGACACAGAAACCACTTTTTGTACCTGTGATACAATAAAGGAAAAACTTGCTAAAGTTTTTAGGGAAGAATCTTCATTAGGAAACAACACACCATTTAAATATTGTAATCTGGTAATGAAAAAGTCAGTACATCAGAGATGAATGATGATATAAATAACCTTGCTTTTAGTTTATAAGGCACTTGAAAATGACACAGAGGGAATATTGCAGGAAAAGCCAGGCAAGTTGATGAAGTTATTGGAGAGAAAAAGAAAAAAAGTCTAGACCTGCAATAAAATACACACAATCATAACTGCCAGGATGGATTGTTGAGATCTACCTTTGAATTTGCATGTAAATAGATTTCCTAATAACTAAGGATAGATTTCTTAATAACAAAGGCTGGAAGGGGCCTGACTAGGATTTCAAGAAACAATCTGCTGCAACTTTTCCTCATTATCTTGAGATATCAATTATACCTAGATCCAATCGAAATAATGCAGCTTATGCGCACAAATACCCCTATCAGATTTACCTGTACAGGCATAAATAGGTCACTAACTGCAATGATTCATAATACAAAATAACACAACACTAGGCTACGTTCATTTAAATACCATGCATGTTCTAAGTAACAATGTATGCATCAATTCTGGGACCCTAACATACAGAACTTTACACTGCGTAAGACCAAATAGAAATATAATGTGTGAGCAATTCAGACAAAGAAATCACACAAAGTAAAGCCATGGTTATTATGTGAGATTAATTTTCCCTTTTGGCTACTCATTTTCATTTATTTTACATTTACCAGTTAGAATCAGAAAAGGAAATTAAAACAATATACAAAGATATATATAGTACGCCTGTGGTTTCCTACCTTCTTCCTTAACTAAGATGAAATTTATTACTTCTTTCTATATTTTCCAATTGGGACTACATAGCTTGCATTTTTAGATTTGTCTATTATCAGCTTTAAAATACAGTAAGAATTAGTCCATAAAGTTAAATATTTTTGGTTGCTTGGGACTAATCACATCTGGAAATATTTTTTGCACATCTAGCAAAAACAATCTGAAGTTATAAAGATACCTTCAAATTAACTCTGTGCTTTAAGAACATGCATGGCTTAGTATGACAAAGGTATAGCCAACTTGTCAAAACCTTTTGTAATACTTATCAATTTCAAGCCATGAAGATGCTGGGAAGGAGGTAGATGTAAGGTCTGTAAGTCTCCAACAAAAAGCAGACACTTCGCTATACAGAACTCACGCACACTAAAGTATAACTTTTAGTTGCCCACCCACCGGCAGCCAGCGAAGTTAGGCCAAAACTGTTAATAATAATATTCCAGGCCATGAAACTTTGACATATGGCAATAGTCACCTTTTTCCTTTCCCAGAGAGGCAGCAATACTGAAATTCCCCTCACAGGAGAAAAGCTATGCAAAGTATGAAAATCTTCACCTCTCCCTCTGCAATGATTAACAAATTGAAATGGAGACGAAGTTATACGTGGTAGATTAGTTTCTTTCCCTTTAAAGAAGGTATTTTGCCAGTAGCACTTTTCAAATCCTTAATCACTCCGAGAGATTAACAGCAATCCTGGAATATGTGTGGAAACCCTATCTATCTGAAACGTACCATAATGCATGTAGCAGTTTCCTTTGGTAGGATCCAGCTGAATAGCCTTCACGAAGTACTTTTCTGCCTCACTCTTGCGTCCCTTAAAAAAAGAAAAGAGGAGGGGAAAATTATTTTAACAGTGTGTCACCATGGAGTGATCATGTACAGTTACAATTTCCAAATTGCAGGCACTAGAGAAAAACAACTACTATTATCACTAGACTTAACCTAAGTAAATATGAATGTTTAAGTGTTACAGTAAGTTTTGTGGTCAGCTACTTTATGCTGCAGGTCTCCAGACTGAGGAAGAAAAGTATCCAACATTGCCAATGTCCAAGAAGTAAGGAAGGGGTAGAAATGCTTTGCAAAAAATATTCTAAAGGGCTTTGAGTGAATATCAAGCTCCATGCTACTTTTCTGGACAGGCATCAGGATGAGCATTACACAGACCCAAGCTAAAATCAGAAGGGAAGGTAGGAGGGACCTTTAGTTATGCTCTTAAAAAAAAAAGAGAAGGGGAGGGGGGGAAAGGAAAAAAACAAGTTTTGGTTCTATGAAATCATAGAATCATAGAATATCTCAAGTTGGAAGGGGCCCATAAGGATCACTGAGTCCAACTCCCTGGTCCTCACAGGACTACCTAAAACTAAATCATATGTCTAAGAGTGTCGTCCAGACGCTCCTTCAACTCTGACAGGCTTGGTGCCATGACCACTTCCCTGTGGAGCCTGTTCCAGCGACCGACCACCCTCTCAATGAAGAACCTTTTCCTAATGTCCAACCTAAACTACCCTTAACGCAGCTTCATTTCATTTCCTCGTGTCCTAAACAACACTATATACACAGCCAACAGCAAAGTCACCACAAACAAATGTATATAAATATAAAATATTTCTGATTTTAATGTGGAAGTAAGATTTCATCAGAAATCAGTTCTGTCAACCATAAAACATAACTGAAATAGAAAAGGTAATTTTTAAAGACAATGGTCAATGGTATGACAAAATGATGAGAAAAAAAAAAAAACAACAGAAATGATGGTAAAAAAGAACAGACATGTTCTAAACCACAGATTTTCTTATCACTGAAATCACCAATGCATTATGGTATACAAGTGCCAGAGCAGATCCATTAGTGGTCATCATTCTTTTCATGAAGAAAACAGTGATATTGGATTAGCCTAGACTGATACTCAAACACACATCACCATCAACTATTCAGTAAGATACCTGTGACCTGTTTATCCCTATCCTCATGAAATTAGTTGCTGTGGTTCGTGTTATAAAATAGAAGGCCTCCAGAAAAAAGAACCGTTAAAGCTTAACCAGTGTGGAAGAAAGGCATTGTGGTCTGCACCTCTCAAGGTTGCCTTGAGTGTTATTTCACAGGTATAAGCATATAGGCTTTCTCAGATTCTGTGGTTTGGAAACAGACATTGCATACATCCTGCACTATCCCACAAGCTAACATAGGAATAATAACGAGGTCTGTTCATGATTACAGCTGCTCCAGATTCTCAGTATTTCCCTCAAGGGCCTTAGAGACAATAAAATAAAGAGAGAGAACGAAGTTGTGCAGCACACCAAGAACTATATCAAGACCAGGTTCCATCAAAATCAACATAGAGGCAATATTTCCAAGACAACATCCTGGCAGAGATACAAGAGGGTTTATCATTTACAATATTCCAGTTTCACAAAATGAATGTTCATTGGAGGTTAAGAGTTTAGCCTTATTATCTAGTAAACTTTCTTTGGTAAACCCATATACCTTAAAACCATATCCACATGGCACAAGGCTCCTGTCAACCAAGTAGTGCAACTACATGATAGAGTACACCATCTTATACTCCAGTGCCTCTCATCTCTGTTTTGGGGGGTTTGTTTTTGTTGGTTTTTTTGGTAAAAAAACAACCAACCAACAAAACCCCAACTAACCAACAAACAAAAAACCCAAACCAAAAAAAAAATATGACATGTAGCCCAGATGATTGGTTTTTCCTCATCTACTAGTGCAGTAAAGACACATCCATAGATTAAATGCAATTTCTTTTTTTTAAATAGCATACAACCACAGTTGGAAACAAAAAGTGAAGAAGAAAATAATCTCCAAATGAAAACACAACGTAAATTTGTGTCAGTATAAAATAATTATTAAAATTAAAATAATTAGGGAGGAAGGAAAGGAGGGTGATAATTACATTTAACTCCAAGGTTGGAATTTTTAGTCTGGCAAAAGTTACCATTACATAGTTAAGTCCAGCCTTGAGGCTTCAAAATGACAGGCACCAAGCATATGTATCACTAAAACTGACAGAATTAACATCTACAGATTTTGCATCATTGCTTTTTTTTAACAGACTAACATCATTAATTTTATCTGGTTGCACTCTGTGTCTATTTCTAGAACATAAAAGGACAGTTCATTGAGTACAGTCACAAAATATGTAGCTTCTGCCTACAGAACTATGACTATAAGGCCACAAACATCTGTCAAGCATGATTAATTTTCATTTACTGGGATCACCAAAAATACACAACTACTGTACTCTTTTTGGCACTTTCCAAATGGCATATTGCACTCAAGTTCAGGCCAGTCAGGAGACCTGGAGTACATAATGATGACAGGTGCCAGCACACATAGCATCAAAGAAATGACTGTGCTATTAACAGGCTCAAATACTCATTAACAGAAAACAGCGAGAAAAATCTTACATTTATCACCCAAGATATAAAATTATCTGACTAGAAATGATCGGCACAGCTACATTTGTTCATGTTGGCCATCATTTTCATATAGCCACATTTGTCAAAATTTAAAAAAAAAAAAAGAATGAAAGCATGTTCTTGCAGAATGGCATTCTGACGAACCTTGCATCGCACCATCTAAAATGTCCTCTTGGTGCTATCTGCCTGCTGCTCAAATGTCAACACCTCAGCATAGATTTAATACACCTTATTTTTCTGTCAAATGATATAAAATCCAATCACTTGACACAATCAGGCTATTTCACAATTAAAATTTAGCTTTTATCAACTTTTTTCAACTATCCAATGTACACCTAAACTACCATAACAGAACGTACACACTCTGTAGTTAGATTAGGACAGCAATCCCTGCCATTGTCCCTTCCCCAGCGTATGTGTTCAGTGTTAAATAAAACACACGGCATAAACAAATAAAAATCTAACTTGTAAAGAAAATCCAAATAAATGTTTAAACAGCTGAAAAATACTGACTTGGTGCAGGAAGGCATTTTGTGTGTGTGTTCACTGTTATGTGTACTGACCCATACAAATGTAGGCATTGAGAGGCACTGGAAACCTCCCAATTTCTAGCAGCAGGGTGTGCAGTTGTATATGCACAACCACACGCTTTGGCAATTTTACAAAGCAAAAAATCTAAGTTTACAACTGCATGCTAGCAGACATATTTGAAGGATAAAAAAGTTATTCATAAGATTTTAATGGAAGGACTTGATGGCTCTGAGGATTAATAATGGGATACAAAATACCTTTCACCTGTTGGTCACCAGTTCACATCCAGTCCAGGTCGGTAGCTAATGAAAAGGTGCTATCTGACAGCTACTTGTTTGCTCAGGAGAAATGAGTGGGTGGTCCTAGCCCGAGCCCTAATGGAGATCCTCTGCACAGATGCACTGGCATATTTATGGCTTTTCAGTGCAGAGACCAATGAGACAGAATCATAAAACAAAAAATGGCAATCTCATTGCTGAGGGGAAAAAAACATAATGAAGACACTCCAGTAATCGATTTAGAAGACACTGCTGATATTCTCCTTACTGGACCTGGACCTTACTCTAATGCTTATAATGAGGACAATCTTTCAACAGTTTTCCATTAATAAAGAAAACTTCATTTTTCTTTCCCTTGTTCCTAAATAAGGATGAATTGCCCATGATTACCACCTTATAGCAATATCAGAAAATTTAAAAGGAAAAAAGTTAATGTCATTGACCCATGGCTCTTATAACCTAGCATGCCAGTTGTCCTGGCTTTCAGAAATACTCCACTCTCTACAAATCATGCAGACTTCAAATCAGAAGGGCTGGTTGCTTGCAGTTTTGGTAGCCAAACAGTTAAGTGTTTAAATATGAATTCCTGAGCTTGATTTTAGAGATCAGTTCTCTGTAGAAGGTGACTGCAAAGTGGTTTTTGGTTGGTTGGTTGTTTCTTCCCTAGAGAACAGGACAATGGATCCAGCCTTGCTCATACGGTCAGATATATTGCTTACCTGGGCTTTCCTACAAAAGACTGTTATGATCACCACAACAAACAAAAGAGAGCTAGCTGAGGGCAGTTGATGCATTAGTAGAAGACCCTGTATTTATCCTTAAAATATAAAAAAACTACCTTTTTTATATCCACCCCAAGTTTTTGCTCACTCTGCTGGCAAACTGTGCCAAATTAATGTTGAGGCAGCTGTTGTACTTCAGGCTGCTGGAGGCCCAAGAACCCTGAGATGCTAGTAAAATTGGAAAAGCTGAGCAGCTCTGAATAACCCTCTTGTGGAAACTATGATGACACAGTGGCAACCAGTAAGGTAGTTCAACAAATTAGGTGGTCTCTGCAATTTAAACCAACTTTATATTTTGTAAATATTCATCATTCATCAAAGTGTGCAAGGATTTAACCAGTAGAGCAGAGACTTCACTCTTCAATATAGTTTTACCAGCTTTAACTGGTAATAATGTGATTGCACAAGGAACTCAATTTGTGTCACAAATGCAGTTGACTGTCATTCCCTACATCTGCTCAGGTTTTTCTGGCAAGCATTCACATTTTTAATAAAATGAATTGAATTATGAAAAGATTTCTTTATGGAAGATTGATTAAACTGTGACACTGAATACAGAAAAAATTATTTTACACATTTCCTTCTTCCTCTCCAGGACATTTTAAAGTCACAGAGAGACTATGCAAGGACAGTAAAATGTCTGAACTGAACTTGTGACTTCATTTCATGTTCATATTGCAGACCTGTATATCTGTTTCATAACCAGTTCCTTTTGCCTTAACAAAAGTTTTCATGGAACAGGCAAACCAATTTAAATGGTGTATAACTGAGCAAATTAGTGAT